TAACAAATTATAAATAAGTATAATGTATTAGTAAAAAATTATTGTTGTTAAAAAGTAATATATTAATTAAAAATTAGCATTTTAATATTAAAAATCAAGTTGTATGAATTTAAAATTCTAAGTATTTGTTTATATTATTATAATTAATTGCATATAATCGTAGATCGTTACGACCAACTGATAATCTTTTTTTTCAGACCCATGTACATAAATTTCACTTAAAAAAATCGAATAATTTTCATATTAGTCAATATTTTACTAATTTTTAATCAAATCATACTTAATTCGTTCATTTATTGTGTGGATTATTTAAGTTGTACCATTTAAGTTATTTATAATAAAATATCTATGACACAGGATATAAAATAATCAAAAAGTTTTATTTTTACATAAAATTTGTGCTCAAAAGTTAGAACATTCTTTTTCGTATAAAGTTCCTATAGAAGTTTTACACTCATAAAGCAAGCAATTNTTCTTTTTCGTATAAAGTTCCTATAGAAGTTTTACACTCATAAAGCAAGCAATTACTGCAACACGCCCAAAACATAAAAATGTATGATTTTAAATAGATTTTGTAGTTTAGGTAAAAAATATGGACCAGTTTTACATAAACATTTTATATTCTTTGACTTTTTTGATCAATTTCTCCTATAAAACTAGTTCAGAAGAATTTTCTTTTAACATAAATTATACTGAATAAGTTTTAACTTATATATAATTTTAAAAAGCAAAAGTTTTGCAAATGACGACGAAACATTAAAAAAAGAATATTATATTCAAATTTTTAAATGTTAAACCAATATGAAAGTTTATATTTTTAAAACATAAGAAATGAAAATTAAAAATCCTATGTAATTGAGACCCAGAATAAATGGAACCAGTAAAGATTGAAATATGAAAGTCATAAAAATTTATAACGTAAAATTGTATGACGCCAAAAGCTAAACCAAAATAGTTAACTCTGTACAATAACAAGATGCAACAAGATATTTGAGCGGAGTTATTATTTTAAATTATTTTGATAACCTATTTTTTACACTAAAATTCAAGAATCGATATTTATCTCAGATTAAAATAAGAAAAAAATTTGACACATTTGAAATTTTTTTATAAATTTGACCCTTTACCTGCACAGGAGTCGATGTTTTAAATTTTGTCAAATGTCAATAAAATTGTCGTGAAATGATAAACAGTATCCTATTTATNTATACACTTTGACAGTGTTTTGTTTTACATTTATATTCTATTTTTAAAATGATAATAGTCTCGAGCCATATTTGTGTGTTTATAACTTCAGATATATGTTTATATGTGGTATGACTGTAGAGATTAAACAAACTGATAAGAATTATTCAAAATTTGTGTTTTATGACAAACGTACCTATATTCGATACCCACATATTACTTTTTATTTTATTCTTTAGTCTATACTCTTTAACTATTTTATAAATACGTATATGCACTAATAAGAAAACTAACAGTGGGTATACGCCGTATACCCGCGTATACGCTCCATGACACCTCTGTTTATATCCCTCTTTCATTAGACATACTATTTTTTTTAAATAACACTATTTCCCTTTATATATTATAAATATATATAGATATTTATTTAATCATATATTACACTTATAAATCATAAAACTTGTAATAAGAATATAAATAAGGAAATAGAAGATCATGTAGATTTTGGAATAATCCATCATTTTTTTAAAATTAAACACTATATAAATATTTGTATCGAAGCGTTTTTTATGATAGTGATTTTAATCACTGTCAAATATCATCTATACTGGACCCAACTATGCCATGTCCCCACTGTGCTGGTTTTTTTTTATATATATTAGTATATAGCTAATTTATTAATCACTTAATTAATCAAAAATAAAAAATAATAATAATATTGATAATTGTTTTATTGGTTTCTTTTAATTCCGTATTTTTCTAAATTTATCAATCATAAAGTATATATTGTGTTCATCCCTTACACTTAATAAGAGTGTCAACTTAATTTTTCAAATGGCAACGCACATCATGAACTAGCTTATTTATTAGATGATGATTTAATTAAGTAAATGACTGATAGACGAAAACTTTTGTACCAGTATTTCATAAAGTTATTAACATTTTATAGAGACAACTAGAGGTGAAACGCAGATATTATTTTTATCACTAGTCATTTCGAAGCCACACTTTTCCTTGCGCCTAGGTTTTTTATCTTGAACCAGCCTGAGGCAAAATAATATTTTTAACATGGCATTAACATTTGAAATACCTTAGCTTAAAGTAGGTTAGATGTAAAAAATGTATTATATGCGTTTCCCAATTAAAAGGGATATTTTTTTTCACAAGGCAAAGTTCTGATTGTTATTTATTATATATAGTTAAAATCATATTTTAGACCATTGTGCACCCCTTCAAATACTCCTAATTTGCATATATGTTAGTAATAATTATAAGTAATAACTGATAATTAAAATATATTCTATAAAATAGAATGTTTGTTTTTTTATATCAATGAATATGAAAAAAATTAATTCAATTGCGATAAAAATTCGAATTTACATTGGAAAAAAACAAACGGAAATATTTCCTTTTATAATGGAAAATACGGATGGAGAAGGGTATTTTTGAAATGTATAAATAAAACTTACTCATCACGCACTGGTAACCATGGCAAAGGAGCTAATATAAATAATCCAACAGCAGACGCTATTAATCCAACAGCCATCATTGACCAGTGGTTGTTGTATTTGTCAGCTAAATAACCCCAACAAGGGCTAGATACACCATATAATATAGAACAGAATAGGAACACGAGTCCAACTTCGTCAGTAGATAATCCCATCTATGGTAAAATACAACACAAATTTATGATCTGAGTATTGCAATTTAGCAATTATAGTCATAAAATTGACTACATATTTAATTAAATAGTCGAACATTTTATTTTTTGGAATTCGCCAAGTGATATCAATTAAAATTAATTTTGTTTATTAAAATCCTTAAATCGAATTTAAAAAAATTGCTTACTGTAAATAATTATTTATTTTACAGTTGCTTACTTCAGTCACTTCAATATGAGCTTAAATGCAATATAAAATAATAGTTATAAGTAAAGAGAGTGGCTTCTTATAAATTGCGACTTGCTTTATATTTATTATGAAGTAAAAATTCTCAATATTACTTATAAGTAGAAGTTAATTTTACTTTCAGTTTTTACAACCATTGTATCATATCCAATTATATTAAATTTGTAATTTAAAAAGTAAAATTTTTATAAATAACAGGAAATCTTAATAAAGTCCTTTGAAGCTCAGACAACTTCATAAATGCATATATTTTATNCTCAGACAAGTTCATAAATGCATATATTTTATCAATTAAAAGTTATAAAGTCAAAAAAAATCAAATAATATTTATGATTTAGTTCAGTTAAAATACGACAAACTATATATACGTTTTAATTATAACTTGAACATTATTTAAATGTAACAATTTTCTATTTAAATTAAATTAATGTAGATAATAATAATATTAAATAATAACATAAAATAAATTTTGTTCATAAAAATATTAATAATAATTTACCTCTCTTAAATGCGGCTCTAATGTAGGATCAAGAGATGCCCAAAAGTTTGACGTGACTGTTATTATAGCACCGACTACAAATGCTGAAGGTATTAAAAGTAATTTAACAATACCTTTTGATCTACTGCCTACTGCATGAGAGGCTTTAGCCCCATCTATATAACATAACATTAACAGAATGATAAAATAAAAGTTTCGATTTGTTTTTTTTTTTTATATAATACGTTACATATAATTATGTAGATATACATACTTAGTTTTTTATATTCCTAAATAGGAAATGAAAATTGTTTTCTTTAATTTTTTTTTTTTTTTAATTATAATTTATAAAATAATTTTTAAATAATAATTATTAATTATTTTTTTTTATACATTTAATCCAGAAAGTAAATTACAGTAGGGATTCAGTAAAGTGGAATAGAAGCATTTAGATAAATTTTAGATTAGTATTGATTTCTGACAGTAATTAAAACCACTGTCGAACAACACTTCAATGCACATTTGAAAAACATTAAAAAAAATTTAACATATCTAACAAAAATTACATGATTTTTGACATTAAAGATTGATTATTCATAAAGGAAAAGACACCGGAACGTATTTCTTAATTAATTATATTATACATAAAATAAATTTTAATTAAAAATAATTTAGAATGATGTAAACATTCCGTTCTATGCAAAACAATACTTCATTAATTTTAACAAATATATATAATTTTTGGCTTAATGTTTTTTTATAACTTATAGAAAACGAGATTTCATAAATTTTTTTTCATCTTAATGCACATTTTGTTAGCTTTAGATTAATGTTGGTTAGAGAAAGTAAGTTTTTTCGGAACATTATCAAAAATTGAAAATAAAAGGTTTTAATATAGAGATTATGTATGCTTCTTTACAGTACTTGGGTAATGACAATCAAAAAAATTATGTTAAAAGTTAAGTACTTGTCTATAATAAATATTACTAAATGTTACCACTAAAAATAATTTATATAGTTAAATATCTATCTATGGATTAGTTTTATTCATATAAAAATTATTCAGGTACAATTTAAATAACAGTGATTATTATTTAATATTGAATTGTTATTATATTTTTGAAATTATTATTTTTTAATTAAAAATACTTTTATTTTAAAAAATTAATATTTCAAAATTTGTCCATCTAATTGTATAAAAATTAATTAAATTTTATTTCATATATTTTTTCGAAAAAGTCTTTGTTTAATGAAAAATAGGTTATAATTTTCATAAAAATTACACTGCATATAAAATCATATATTATACTTACACAATATCAATACTTTATTAAACTAAAATGTTTACAGTACAAAATATGATAGTTTATATGATAGATTAAAAGACATAATTAATTACCTTTAATAGGGGGCATCAAATATACATGTAGAGGAACTGTTGCTATCATTAAAAATCCTACAACATAAAATGGCATAGCATATCCTCCAAGCTAAAAATATACACAAATATGAAACATAGTTAAAACATATATTAAACATAAATATAGTTAATATTTATCTTAAGTATTTTATACTTACCGAAGATAGTAATCCACCTATAGCAGGTCCTACACTCATTCCCAAACCAACAAAAGTTTCTAGTATACCCTAAGAAATAGGTATTATTATTATACAAATAGTAATGTTTTATAGAATAGTATGTTTATATTACCGCATTACTAAACAATCAGATTTTTTCCGACTTGATACTTACTAAAACACTACTGACATTATCTGGAAAAAGTTGTATTACGTATACAAAACTCGATGTTGAAAAAGCACTGGCGCCGATAGCTTCCAATCCACGAACTACAAAACATAGAATCTTGAATTGAAAGTTGTCTTCAATCATCGGTAAAAATCTAATAGACATATATCAATATAAAAACGATTTTTTTAGTTCTTCATGAGGTATATTTCAATGTCATATAATGAATAGTGTGATAATCACATGCACTCACCCGAATAATGCATTGCACACACCCGATATAAAAACTCCGGATATAAATAAACATTTGGTACCAAATATTGGCATCTATAATCAAAAAAAAATTTGATTATACTCTTTTAAATTATTTTTAATATACTATAAAATCAATTATAATTATACAATTTATTTTAACGTAAATATCTATAGTACCAAATGAGTTCATAAATTATTTAGACTAACAAGTAATAGATAATGTATATTATAATAATTACAAGTGATCCCATTGCAGGAGACAAAAGAACCATGACTAGAGCAAAGAAACTAAACACAAAACCAGCTTCTGTTACTGTCATACCTTTGTTTTCAGCCTGAAAAATAAATTTGAATAAAATTCTCGTTTTTTAAAAACAATTTGTTAAAATATACGAATATAGTAAAATAATATACTCATGGCTAGATTAAATTACTTTTATTAAATTACCTTTATATTTATAACATGTTATATATATAATATTTATTCAAATTTGATTGATTAGTTTTAAATTTGTGTATTTTAAAATTCAAGTCTAATGTAAAATTATTCATCTGGATCATTCTGGAGAGGAGTAAATAGTGCTTTTTGTTCTCCTTCGCATAACGATTTTTGGTAGATTAAATATACAAAGATTAACTACATTGCATAGTGTACGTTTATAAATTTATATAATATATGATCCATGTAATATTTATTCTAATTCAAAGTTTAAGTAAAATTAATTGTCATTCATATTTAAATAATTATAAAAATTAATAAATTAATATACTATTGATACACTATGATCCTTGTATAATATTGATTAAATGAATCAAGATTGATCAAGAGATTTTTATTAACATTTAAACTTATTTTTTATAAGTAAAAAACAAATCGAAATTATTTGTACATAATCTTGTCCATTTTAGAGAAATTGGTGGTAACTACACCATTAAAATTAATAATTTAATTTTATAGTTATGAACTAATGGTTCAAGAATATCAAAATATCCATTTTGAATCCAGAAGAAGCTATCGAATGTTTTACTGATAATAGCACTTCAATCAAGTAATGACATAAACATTTATGTATTGGATTATTACATTTCTCCAGAAGCAAAATTCTAACCAAATATGTTCTTTTTTACTATGAAAAGCTGCTCTATTTGTACTAGTATTAGTAAAACGTTTAAGTTTCAAATGATAAATGTTTATAAAAACAACTATTATAATAGCTGTTTTTATAAAGGATACCAAAATATTTACCATGACATAGATGTGTTTTTTAGAAATAAAGTCCCAACCATATATTAAATTTAGGATTACTGACACAAGAAAATAAAAATATTTAAAAAAATTAAATATTTATTAGAAAGATAATGAATATATACAATGAAAACAAAATAAGTCGATACAAATTTTTGTAAATTATGCTTTTAAAATGTTTATCTTGCTCCAGTAAATAAGTTGACGATAATTGACCAAATTAAATTCAACATAATTTTAACCTAAACAATTTTTTTATGTAGACTTATCTGCCACCTCCATGTGGTTTCTCTCTTAAATAACGCTAATAGGATGAAGTATAAAAATTTGCTAATTTTTATTTGTGTAATTAATTAATATAATTTAAGTAGGCTGATGCATCAGTCTATTCCTATGCAACAGTCGCAATATGTTTGGTAATAAATTCATACGATATTAAATTTGACCCAAAAATTTAATTGATACAAATATGAGTCAAGGAAATCCACTTATCAGCATCGGTAATAAATAGGTACTTTTATCATCACATAGAATTACACGATGTTCGCGAATTTATTATGCCAACTCTACCGGTCGAATTGTATAAAATAAAAATTTTAATGATTTTGTTTTTGTTTATGTGATTAAAATTTAAGTTTTTTTATTTTACCTAATTAAGCACAATCATTTTTTATCTGAACTTATTGAGTCATTAATTATGTATTATATTTAACTGTTATAATATACCTGTTTTGGAAAAGTAGGGGCCAAAACGGACATGGAACAAAATCCAAGGAAGTCAACCAAAGCGAGAGAAAAAAGCGCCATGTACTGTTTGATTGTGAATCCAAAGTACCGAGTGACGTTCTTTTCATCGTCCAAATTGGCAAGGCCGTCGCCACCGCATCCACCTGCAGATCCCAAGTCAAAGGGAACTGGACTGCGGGATATGCGACAAATTTCACAAAAAGCATTTCTTTCCATTGTGAGTGACATGCTACGGGCATTTCGAAATTTTGGAGGATATTCAATCCTAATCTTATTTTCACCGATTGAGCTTCCATAATTGCTAACTTTACTCTCTTGATCGATCTTTAAATAATAATTAGAATCGAAATTTTCAGTTGTATATTTTTCATATTCCAAGAACCCTCGTATGTGTTCATCATCATCTCCACTAACGTCTTCCTCGTCCACACACGTACCAGGTGCAATATTGTTGTTTGTTTCCAGACCACATGGTAAATTCGTTAAGCTCTGGAACTATACACAAAGAGTTCGTTAATAATCGTATTAAAAAATAAAAAATAATAATAACATATTATAATAGAAAATATAAGAATTTAAAAAACTTTAATTACGTTAAAAAATATAACAAAACCAACGAAACTAAAGACTTTTTTGAAGTTAGTAATACTAATTTTATGATAATTTCATAGTATTATCATCTTTGATCAGAGACTTTAATAATGTATTAGTTTTATTACGATTTATTTTTTCACATCCTTTTACATTCTTATTTATAAATCATGACATGCTATTTTTTTTAATTGTACACATTGTAGTTATCTAAGATTTTGGTTCAAAATGCGTCTATGAACGTTCATATAATTAATTATTCTCTTAGTATAGCTTATTCTGATAAAACTAGCAGCGTATTAAAGATTTTAAAGCCTTAAAACAATATCATTTTTTTTAACCCTGGAAATTTAAACACGTACTTCAACATTTAAAAAATTATATTTTAATTGTCACTTCTTTCTTATTTAAAATTGTTTAAACAAAATGTCTATTAAACTATAAAAAAGATAATAGAAAAATTTTCAACTAATTTTTTTAGTTTGTATCTAATATACAAAGAGGAAGGAGTGACTGAAAATGCTCTGATAATCAGATCCTTACCATTTTCTCAACTTTTAGGTGCCACTATTTTTGATCGTGACGGCTTAAAAATTGTTAACAACCATTTCTTTATAAATAATTCTTCATCCTCTTATTATATATTATTTGTACTATTTCATTTTATTCTTAAAGTCTTTTTTTTTTTTTAAGAGCTGATCTCCACACCTCTATCCTTTTATTAATTTCCTACCTATTTTCTCCTATTAACACTATATCGTCAGCAAATAACATGCACCACGGCACCTTTATAAATACCTTGTATTTCTCTAGTAACTTCATCCATTACTATAGAAAATAAGTAAGGGCTTATAGCAGAACCTTGGTGCACTCCTACTCTTACCCTAAAATCTTCTGTTACTCCTTCCACACTTTTTACCCTGATACAAGTGCCATCATATATTATTAATTAAATAATATTTAAGTTAGTTAAATATATACAGAGTGTTGTTTAATTATGACAGACGCAATATCTTTAAAAGTATAAACCATATTTTAATAAAACGTAAGGTATTATTGACTTTTGAAAAGAAAAAATATAATATGTAATATGTAATATGTAAAGCAAGCGCTTGATAATATAAGCCAGATGATTTATTATTTATATTCATCATTATGGTTGTATATTTTCCTAAAACAAATAGGAATAATCATATTTGAGTGTTATATTTACGAACATAATTAAACAATAATAAAAAAAATATTATTCATATTAATTGTGTAATTATTAATTAATAGTAATTTATATTGTATACCCAGAATTGAATACTAATTAATTTTTTTTAAGTATTGGTTCATCAATAATAATTTTATCAACAAAATTTACGTAGAAGCTAAAAAATTAATAAAAGATTATCGAAGTCATTCATAATAAGAAGTGGCAGATAATCTTCATTCTCCTTGTGACGTAATTTAATTGCAAATAGTCACTTCAAATTTGCTTAAAATATTATTTTAATTTAATTAACAAAAACTTTATTATAAATATGATTATAGTAAAGTATATATTAATATTTATAACTCCAACGAAACAAAAAATAAATTGTAATGATTATTGTTTCTTAAATGTAAAATTAAAAAGTATTACCTCTAATGAAACTTTTACATAATGAAATTTAATTAAATTTAATGTACTATACTATAAATATCATAAAGAAAGAGATAAAAATTTTCGTTTAATCGTCTCATATAAAAATTCACCAAAAATTATATTTTAAAAGAAAATTATTTACTTTTATTGAAATTTTTGAATATTCATTTTAATAAAGTAAATACAAGTAGTTTTTCAGAATTTTTCAAAAACTCCATTGAAAAATTTCGATTGTTCAAAGAGTTAATATAAATTTTTGATTTTTATGTACCGTGAGATTAAAAACTTTAATAGTTTTTATTAGTATACTGTAGTAACGCTTAGTTTTCTATATTTATTCTTTGCCGACTCATTTTTGCCATAAATGTAACTTACCTTTCCAAAGCAACAGAACATTGATACGTTCTTTCCATACAAAAGAGTCAAGCGGAATTAATTTTAATTATTATTAACTTTTAAATAGGATTTGAAGACAAAAATAATCCTAAAAGAAGTTATAACTCATAGCTTCTCAGAGAAATTTTTTGTAACATACCCCTTATTTATTATGTTGGTTCCTTGTAGACAACAGAGGATATATTGATAATGCACAAATGAAAAATGTGGTCAAGCTTAATTGGCTATAAAAAAAATTATTTGTCTAACTAAATTTAATGTATTAAAAATATAAAAAAAAATTCTCTTGTTTCTATAGTTCTTTACAATTCATTTACTTACTTAATGAACACCCTGTATACTTGTACTATAGTTCAAGTGTATACTAGAATCATATTTTAATTTAAATAGTTTTGGAAAATGATTTAATGCGATCAAATTTATATTAAAATCTATAATTTTGGTTTTAAGTGATAACATCCCAAAAGTAGGTCTTTGTAAACTTTACTCACTAAATTCAGTTTGATGTTTTTTTTATTATCAGACTGATTTATTTAATCACATGAAAATCAAATAATGGAACAAAAGTATAAAACTATAATATTGCAGATCGTATGAATAAATAAAACAAAGTACTGAAGAATAAGAAACTACACAATTATTTTAAAATAACTACTAAAATTCTCAATAAAAATTATTACATACTTTAAAAATATAACGAATGAAAAAATTGCACAATACTATCAATATATCTTTGTACATGGAGACATAAATGCACAGAAATAATTAAATCATGCCGTTTTTTACTCATAAAAATATCTGCGATTAACTGTTGAGTACCATTGAAAATAAACACTGAGACTAAAATTTGTTCTACTCAGGCACATATCCGTTCTTATATAATAATTGTATAAATATAATAGAGGAAAACGAAGGTGTATAAAAATGTATCATAGTTGGCGTTTTCAGATTGTACATAACACACCAACAAGATATATTGAATATCTATAGTTTTATGGCTTCACTTCAAGCTTACGAAGAGGGACGTGCATCGAGCATATTTAATATCAACGTAGTATTATCTCATTTACATTAAAAGTAATAATTATTAGACAAAAATAGATAATATACCTTATTATAATATTTATAATATGAAATTACATGAAGTTAAATTCAAAAATATAAATTATTTTTTGAAAAAGCAACAAATTTTGGTTCTTTTCATATGGTAATATATAAGTTAAAAAGGTTAATAACTTATAATATATAAAATAATATATATATATATATATTTATATAGATATTTTAAAATGGATCTTTAATTTTAAAAAAATTTATAGCAACCCTTTCAAGTTTAGTTTTATTAAATACTTCACCTAAAAGACAATTCCACAATCTGTCTATTTACCAATTAAAAACAAGGGTAATATTGAAGAAATGTTTAATTAAAAAAACAAAACATAATATACTACAAATAACACTTTTTTTTTTTTACATCATTTTTTTTACTCTTTATAAAACATACTTATAATAAATATACATATATCAAAAAATCATGGTTTTCGTTTTCCATAAATAATGTAAATAAAAATAAATAGCCACAAACAATGTCTTTTAATGTTTATCTAGAAATAAAATGCAATTTTAACATAATATATATAATATATAGTAATAAAAATTATATAATTGATAAACGTAAAAATATCTTCATTATAATTTTACATTAGGAAAACAATATGCATTAACTTTTTTTTAAATATAGAGTTAAATAATAAATAAAGTAATTAATGACTTTATATATAAAAAGTATTAAAAAAGAAAAATGTTTTTCAAAAGCTTTTGAGAATTTTAAATTATATATTTATAAATATATGTATATATATATATATATATATTTTTTTTTTAATTGGGAGAAATAATAATTTGTATTTTTTATTATGTTAAAATTACAAATTAACTGAAAATAGCACGAAAAGAATCCATCCAGTAACTACTTTTACTTTTACTTTTACTGAGAATTTAAGTAAGTTTTATAAAATGATAGGGAAAATGTAAATTTTATTGTAATTATTAAATTCCATTTTTGTCAGTATAAGTTTTAATTTTTATGTTTTTATTGTATAGATATTATATTATATAAAAATATGTATATATTTTGGGACAATCTCGAAAAGGGGCAAAGCATAATTTTAAAATTTTTATTTTGCCATATAAAATTTTTTTAAATATTAGACCGAAAATATAAAATTTCATTAACTCAAATCCACATATTAAATACCAATGAAAATAATTACAAATTTGATTACTTTTCCTAAGTACATTATTAATAAAAAAAACTAATATGACTGAGATGGTTATTTTTATAAACACTAAATAGAGATAACTGTTTTCTTTCGCAATAATGTGAGAAGAAATGTTCAAAATAGATGAACCATAAAAAATCTTTGTATAGTAAATAGAAATATAGGAACATAAATATATAAAGAACTAAGAATATACATACATACAGAGTGTTCAGTAAGTAAGGAAACGGATTACTTTTGTTCTCATTGTTTATAACAATTGATATATTTCCTTACTTACTGAATACACTGTATAGGTTCATTATTTAATTACGTACCACGAAATATTTTCAAAAATATTTCATATAAAATAATATATACCTGATAAGTCAACAATGAAGCCAGTATTTTGTGTGAGGCAACTAATAGAAAAGTTTAGGGAAAAGAAGAAAAAGCTGTGTATAGTATTTATAGATTTGGAGAAACTGTATGAGAAAAAAGGTCTTGAAAAGGTACATTAATATAATAGAAGATATGTATGATAGCACTTGTACAGAGTATATAGAATACGAGTTTGACAAAGGAGAACACGAGGTAGGTGAAATGACGAGATCAGTGACAATAGGCGAGGACGTGATTGAAAAGGTGGAAAGTTTTAAGTATTTGAGGTCAGTTGTGCAAAAGTGCAGTGGTATTGACGAGGATGTAAGACACAGGATTAAGTGCGGGTGGTTGAAGTGGAGAGAAGTGTCTGGCGTCTTATGCGATAAAAGAATTCCAATGAGGCCGAAAGGTAAATTCTACAAGACTGTAGTGAGGTCAGCTATGATGTATTGTTCAGAGTGTTGGGCGGTTAATAAGAAAGTAGAGCAGAGAATGATTGTAGCAGAGATGAGAATGCTTAGATAGATGAGTGGAGTGACTAGAGAAGATAGGATAAGGAACGAGCATATAAGAGGGAGTATAGGTGTAATGTCAATCGTGGATTAGATGAGAGAAAATAGACTTAGATGGTTTGGTCATGTAGTGAGGAGAAAAGTATCGGAAGCTGTGAGAACAGTTATAGAAATGAATGTTGAAGTAAGAAGAGGTAAAGGAAGACCAAAAAAGAGATGGAGGGATGTTTTTGAATGCGATATGAAGACAGCTGATGTGAGCGTAGAGGATGTGGGAGATCGTGTCAAGTGGAAGTTTAGGATAAGGGTGGCCGACCCCAAGTAGTTGGGATTAAGGCAAGAAAGAAGAAGAAAAAGAAGAAATATTTTTAAAAATATTAAAACTAATCATAATTTTATTTTTAACAATAATGATTCTTTTTTGAGCTACTTTACAAGAAAAATTTATTTTCTGCTATCATTCCTTTATCCTAAATTCGTATTAACTTTTGATTTTTGAATGACAACCCCAACTTTTTATATATCATCAGATTTATTGAATTAACTAATTAATTTGATGAATCGATAACAATTTTAAAAGAAGTATTTATTGAGTTACAAGCATTTTAATACATAAAATGGATATGTAACTCTTGTGGATAATGTAGTATATAATGGTATACGTATACACAGTTATTATTTTAACATTAATCAAATATTTAAGCAAGAGTCATAGTAACTATAATTCCCACTCAAATTTTTGGTTTAAGTTAAAAGAAGTACTGTATACCCCGACTAGTGTGTATGCCCACAGTATTTATTAAAATGCTTGAAACTTGATAAAACTTATCCTAAAATTATTATCGATCGATAAAATTTTTTTGTATGAAAAGTAATAAATATGAGCATACTGTAATGTTAAATAAAATAAATGATTTTCATTAATATATTTCTTATTAATAATTAATAAGAAAAAAATATGCCTTGGGCGTAATATAAAAGAGTAATATTATTTTTAAAATTTTTTTAACAAAATGATAAGTTGATTCAAATGTTATTGAATTTTTCATATCTTCGTGACTTACATATACAGAGTGTTCATTAAGTAAAGAAACAGCTTTCAAAACAATTGTTACAAACAATGAGAACAATAGAAACCTGTTTCCAACTTACTGAATACTATATATATATATATATATATATATATATATAAACGTCACAAGTGGTTCATACATCTCATCTAACTATTGATCCAATTGTAATTTTACTGAAATTTATTATAAGATAATTTTTGCCTTTTAAGACTACGTTCAAGACATATTTTTTATGATATATCATTAAAACAAAAAAAAAATTTTTTTTTAATTATTTGAAATTTTTATTTTTATCTATCTTCTTACACATCATTTTAAAGGATTGATGATAGTTTTAGGGCAAGTGTTTATCAAGTTAAAACCATTTGAACACATAAAGTAGGTATAGAACGCAAGTGGAGTATAAATACACCAGTACGATCTGTACCCACCTGCGTTACATACCCACTCTATGTACTAAAATGTTTGTATCAATGAGTACATGTCCTAAAATTTTTATCGTCCCATCAACATTTTTTTGTACGAAAAAGATTATAAAATCAATATTCTCGAAATTTTAAAAAAAAAATTATTTATTATTAGTAGTAATACCAGCATTGGCTTTATTTATAATTAGATATTTTTCGACCATACGTCTCCTCCTTTTAGGTATAGAAATAAATGTTTTACTCTTTGTCCTGCTTAGGTATAAAAATGAAAATAACTTCCAAAGTACTGGTCGAAAAATTGTTATCGACCAGATATTTACTCAATTAGATCATTTTTTATTTTATAAGCTAATTAAATATTTATGTTGCCATCTAAAAAAATGAAGTGATATCTTAAAAATAACTAATAAATTAAGAAGTACATGAAACTCAAAAAGACTAAAAATAATTTGTTTAACATAATTATTTATTTAAGAGGAAATAAGTGGCTAGCGTCAAAATAAATATCCAGTATACATTTATACATTTACATATTTTATCCAAATACATAGTAGATGTAGTTAAAATTAATTGATTATAATCTATAGATATTTTTATAAGCCTAAATTTTATTGTTGGTAAAATACACACGAGATTAATAGGTACACGATATCCTAGCAGTCTAAAGTTCCTTTTATGACATTATAATTCTATTTGAAGTAGAATTTGTGATAATAACGTCTATAATTTAATATAAACTCAAGTGGTTATATTCTATGTCCGTTGAAAAGGTATAGAATTCATTTAATAAAAAAAATGTATTTGTAATTGCGCAGTAAATAGTAATATATTTAACTCATTGAATAATTTTTTTTAATAAACATTTCTTTTGTTTTATTTTTACATAAGTTTTAAATTATAATACAATTTGTAGCATCATCATTCAATTCATTTAAATTAATAACATTTATTCTAATATGATAACATAAATTTATAATTGTAAATTTTGAACACTTTTGAGAATTAATCAATAAAAAATAAAATAAAATAAAGCGTTAAAATTTTGCTGTTTAATGAACGACAAAAAAGAAATCGGATTTCTTTGAATATATTATTTATTAATCATGTTATATGGATATGAATTATATCATAACTAATAATTAATTTTATTAATATTATTTATTTATACCTCTATAATTAAGGTCAATGAACACGTTGTCTTAAAATTTAAATGGTATTTAAAATTTTAAATAATACTTTTTTTCCAGATGTCCAAATAAACTCATACAAAATTAATATCAGATATATCTTAAAGGTAACTAATTTCTTTAAATTCTACCCAATTATATTTATACTCGGATATAAGATTACACGAGTGAATATTTTTAGATACTTAAATTAGTTATTTAACTAAATTTTGAAGAATAGTTTGTAAGTAGTTTAGAATAGATCACCTTAATATGATTTGTATAATGTTGATGTCTAGATTCGTCGACAAGCATATCCCGTGGTCTTGTCAGTTACTAAAAGTTAATGTAAACTGTAAAAAATAAAATTTAACAATCGATTAAGAAAAACAATAACACTTATTGACGAAAATGTATCAATAATATTTTATGTTAAAGTAAAAATAATTTAGTCGATAGTGATTGCGAATGAGCTATTGAATGATATTAAAACGTTCACATAAGTTTTGACATCGGAAAAATATTCAATAAGACGTTTTTTGTTATCTTCAAGAACACCCAATGAAAAGAAGAACACCACAGATAACGCTTAAAAAACACACTTTGGCATTGTCAATATTAAAGTAGTGACAAAGTACGAAAGCCTATTTGATCCTATAGAAAACTCGTCAACAACAATACCTAAAATTTTATTTTCATTAGGTGTCCACGGTAAAAGAATTGCAAGATTAATATGTTATGTATTGTATGGTACAACTGTTGCTGATTTTGTTAATACATTGGTATTAGTTAAATTACGTTTTATATAACAATATTATTTAAGTATGATACATAAATGTTTATCATATAAAAGCGATAAAACGGTTTCAATAAAAACTATCCGATAGTAATTTATCAAATTTTTTCTTTTATAAAAAATATAGGTTCATTATATCAACCGATGTGAGATAAAGAAATGTCACCATGGTATCAAAAAAATAACCAAATTGCTCATATTAATAACTTTATTTTTGAGTTAATTTTATGGGCACAAATACAGAATTTTATGGTTACTTAACACCCTTTAGCAACTTTCACAATTGTGTTTAAAATTTTTTAAAGTAAAATTTAATATTTCTTTTTGTTATTGTATAAATAAATACCGTTTTTCTTGAAACCTTGTTTTTTAGTAACGTTAGTGTACTATGTCATCAGTGTAGGATGTTAATTTTATTTTGAACATAGTAACATAACATAGTATAATTGTTGAAACATTTACAGTGCAACTATTACAATGGTTAGGAAAATATATATATATATAGAGTGTACCACCATGTTCTGACATATTTAATACAGTTAATATTTTGCATTTTTTTTTTTTTAATTTTGTAAATTATGCATTATAATAAAAGTAAATTTTTTATTTTTTGACTTAAATATAAAAAAATTAAAATTAAATTTTTTGTAACGTGGATGAAATATACATAAAAATATATACTAGTACAAACTGTACTCGCTCATGCTACTACTAAACCACATTATATTAAAATGTTTGTAACTCAATAAGCACATATCCTAAAAATTTGATAAGAAAAGAGTTAAAAATGATTATTTTAAAATTCGGAAAAATAAAATGTTGTGTTTTTTTTCCGATTTGACATAAATAGGAAATGTTTTAAACAGAGTCTAAGACTGTAAAAATTACAAAAAAATAACGGAAAATATTCACTGGATCAAAAGTTGTGTTATAATTTTGAAACATGGTTGGGCACAGTGTATTGCGTTATTCATAATTGCAGAGATGTATTTAGAGGCATATATTCTGAACATTGAAATTGTTGCGTATGGCGTATAACTATAAAAAGAAACTTATAATTATTACTATGGAATATGCCATGATATAAAAAATTATATGTAAACTCATATGTAGTGATACAGTCTAGTATATGACTAGACTATATTACTCATATGAGTAAATATTTCTTTTATATGAGCATTAAATATACAGGGTTTTTAGTAAGTAACAAAACGGATTTCTATTGTTCACATTGTTTATAACAATTCGCCTGTTTCCTTACTTACTGAGCACTATTGTATATATCTAAAAGTATACTTTTGGATGTTAAGAGTAGTGTAATATACATTGATCTAATCATAAGAGGATTTTTCTTCAAAAATATATTGCTGAAGCAATTTTAATCAATTAGTTATTTTTCTTTTTTATCTATAGAGTAGAATTGTGAAATACATCTCTGCATAACTTTTAATTTATAAATAGATAAAATATTATTTTTTATCCTTGGATCTTAATCACCCCCAAGTTCAAAAAACTATATGCGTTTATGAATTTTTATGTATACACACAATAAAAAATTAATTTTGGAACCAACTAAATCAAAATTTCTTCAGCAATATGAAAGAAAACAATGTATTTTACACTACTTTTAACATCTAAAAGTATTCTTTTAGATATATATTTAAGGTACATATAAAAAAACATTCACTAATAAACATATGAGAGTAAATAAGAACGACTAATAAATGACCTATATAATTTTTTAGCTTTTCTTAAAGTAACAAGAATTGGATCTTGTATTTAAAAACTTATATCAAAAAGTATATTTTAATTTATTTAAAGTTTATGCCCATAGGCATGAATACAAAATCTTATTCTTTGGATAATACGATAATTATTTAATGTATATACATAAATTTTGTCATCACAAATTCAATTACAAATAGATTTGTATAATTTTTAAGTGAAACATGTTTTCATCGTATCCCGAAAGATAACAAATCAATTATATTAAAGTTTGTTTTTTTAGTTTCAAAAATAGTTTGCTTAAGAAACGTTATTGAAGTTTTTAATTGATTTATGCTGATAATTGCTCAAATTGATATTCGAGCTTTTGGAAAATAGCCAATGAGTCCTCTAAAGAGTCTTGAAAAAAATAATTTGTAATTGAATAGTATAGTTTTATTCTCTCGCCTCATGTAAAACATTTTGATTGAAATATTTTTAAAAAGTGTAATTCTTATGAAGGATGGTTGCTTCAAAAATGGTTTGAAAAAAATGTTTAGGAGTTTATGGAAAAATTAATGTCTTTGCGATCATTTTAAAATCATTATTGCTTAAAAATTATTCAATTTTTCATTTAATTATTTAGTTGTTGACAAATATATATTTCAATTCATTTTATCTTATTATAAATTTTATGAATTTTTTATTCGGTCCAATATTAAACAGGGTTCTATCAAATTTTCTTTTAGAATAGGTTTAACTGAGCGTAATTCATAATATGAAAAAATGATATTATCATTTTTCAAACAAGTAACTTTACGAAAATTGAAAAATTGTGGAAAACAATGATTTTAGTAATCGTTGAGATATCAAAACAACAAATTATGACTGCTAGTCTATAATTTATATAAATATATATATATGTGTTGAGGATAATTTATTGTGACTCATGACACACTCTTAATATACAGATAATTAACATTGTTTACATCCTTGACTTTTTCTGATTTTATTATATCTATTGAACAAAATACAATTAAATAAGTTCTATTCAAAACCTTAGAATATTATTACAAAATGAATGTATTAAAATAATAGGTGTAAAGAACTTATCAATGAAGTGAGATTATTTAACTAATTACACGATTAAAATGTTGTTTTTTTTTTTATAATTAATCTATATGAATGAATAAACAATTTTTATTCTTAAAGATAATTGAGTAGTGAAAAAAAAATTCTTACAAAAATATTTATATTTTGTAATTTTATTTGTATAAGATTAATATAAAAAATATATATTGATTTGGTCATCTTTAAAAAAATTATGGCAATTTAAAGTTAGAAAAACCCAGCACAGTGTGGTCGTGGCATAGTTGGGTCCAGTATAGATGATATCTGACAGTGATTAACATCACTATCATAAAAAACGCTTCGATGCAAATCTGTAAATAATGTTTAATTTTTTAAATTAATGGATTATTCCAAAAGCTACATGATCTCCTATTTCCTTATTTATATTCTTATTACAAGTCTTATGATTTATAAGTGTAATATATGAATAAATATATTAATTATATATGAATATAAATAATACTTATCTTAAAAAAATATAATTATCCATACATTTTTCAAAAAGTTATATAAATAAAAAGATAAAAATGTAAAATATAAAATCGAGAATTTTCACACAAAAATAGCATTTGGTAGCCATTTTCACCGTGAAGACAAAATAAAATCGGAATTTTCTTTTTCATATTAAAGTATATTACATTAGCTTTAATTTAATATATATATATAAGTGTCGGTATTTCCGAAACACTTTCAAAAGTTAAGTTGAAAAAGTTGTCATTTTGAATCCCTCCCTTAGGCAAGGAAAAGTTCAGATTTAAAAAAAAAATATACAAAATGAGAGATAAGTAACTTACATATCTATATAAAAAAAATTATAGCAGTGTTAAGTAAAAAAAATTGAAAAAATGTCAAAAATTAGCAAATTTACAAATTTAAATTTGTAATTTTTTTGGAAATTTCCCCCATTTACGTGGAACGAGGGAATTTTTTTCAATTTTTGAGGGTAATATCTTCGACTAGATACGATTTGTGATTTTTTGACGTATCGTTAAAAGAAATCGGTTTGGTGAGAGCTGAAAAAAAGTGGTTAAATAAATAAATAAAAATAATACACATAGTAAAATTAATACCTTCTCAGCTTCCCATCGAAGCTAAAAGAATTATTAAAATATTACAGATATATTTTTTATTTTAGCAATGTTTTGTAGCATTACCTACAAATGAGTATTTATTGTAGTATCACGAAATGGAATTAATGCTTCTGAAAAGGAAGTTGAAAGATGATAATTTTAATAAATAGTACTATTCTAAGTTTATAGGTTTATACAAGGATCAATTACTGATCATTAAATATTTACTTAAGATTAGATACCGTCTCATTAAACGCGTGTAAGTTTTGTATACCAATAGAGTGCTACAAAATATTTCACAATAACCGTATTAATATGAAAATGGTCTTATCAAAAAGACATACACGGAAAATAAAATGCATGTGTCTGATTTTTGACGTGCGAGGCAAACAATGCTTCTTAACGGTAATTTGGATGGGTAAACTATAAACCAATTAAGAATTAATTGCGCAAATTTTAATTAAAAGAATTTATAATAATAATATAAATTTTAGTTATAGTCGAGCGAGTTACGCAACGTAAAAGAATTCTTAATTCTGTGTTAAATAGAACGTTCCTAAACACTATCGCGTCCTTCGCCTTTTCTAAATCTTCAAATGCTACTATCTTATAAAGTAATAACACTAAACTAGTAAAACTAGGAGAACTTAGTCTACCAGTTAGAAAAGTATAAAAAGATACATTAAATTAGCCTTCCAAAATTTTTTTTTATTTAATTATTTTGCCATTCGAATACAAAAATGTTGTACTATACCATGTCCACCATCAACACGAGTCTGTAAGTCTTACCTCTTTTCAATAC